CAAGCTGCCTACTACTCCCATCCGCGCACCGCCATAGCCGATCGCTACTACGCCCTCACTACCCGCGGCTGCGAGGCACATCGGCGATAATCATGCGTCGCAGTACCTGCCCCTCGCGGCCTGGCAAGCCCGAGGCCGCCACGCGCGCACCCGAGCCACCGAAGCGCAAGGTATTCAACTGCATCGTCGACGATACCGCTCTGATCGCCGGCGTCAAGAAGAGCACCCGCGATGGCATCCGCAAGTGGATCGCCCAGGACGCTATACGTCTTTATGTCCCGCTGCACAGTAGGCCATAGCATCGCAGCTTCCCTGTCCCCTTGACTAACGCACAACAAGCCCTTACCCAGCTCCACCGCCTCAAGAACGGCACTGAGCGCATCCACGCCGACGCCCGCGAAGCCGTCAAGTGGCTCGACGAAGTCACGTCCAATGAAGCCGCGAGCCGTGTCCAGCTCGAAGGCGTCGACGAAGCCTACACGACGTGGGGAGAGGTGGAGCACTTCCTGCTACCCGACACATTGCTCTCCATGGAGGATAGCGAGTCGGACGAGGACGACTACCACGAGGATCTCGAAAGCTCCTTCAACGCCCTCGACATGTCCGATGGCACATCCATCAGCTCTACGCACAGCTTCGAGAACGTGTCCAAGACTCCCGAGTCGCCTGGTTCGCGTTCGAGCACGGCGTCCGGGCCTGTCGACGCCACCCCACACACAGACAAGGCAGCCACGCTACTCAGAGCGTCCCCCGACCGTACCGCACGCAGCAGTACCGACATGGCTCGCGCTGACAAGACGACCAAAGGCTCCGTGCCTGTCTATCTCCAGCCCCTCTTCAATCACATCATGTGGCGCATCAACAAGGAGGGCAATCCAGATGCGGCCCTGGAGTCCTTCATCCTCCTCACCAATGATTCTGCCAAGCAGGCCATCGCTCAGAAGTTCGGCATCCGTGCTAAACGCCTTGAGCAGCTCCGAGATGCTGTTGCTCGTGAAGACCGCGAATACAAGAACCATCTGACCATCCACAAGCTAGAGGTCGAAGCGACCGCTGCTAAGAGCGCCTCTCCAATCGCACCCAAAGCCGCAGAGCGACCCAAGTCCAGCCCCATCCACACGAACGTAAACGAGACTAAGCCCGAAGACATCTCCGATGACGAGGACGAGGTACTTTTCAAGCGCGCCCCTCGAGGCCCTGCCGCGACTACCGGCAACCAACACGTCTTCGACCCGAACGATTTTGCTCGCACAAACCAGCAACAGTCCCCTCGCGGTGGACGTGGAGCTCATGCGGCGCCCCGCGGTCGCGGTGGACCAGCCTTCCGGGGCCGTGGTAACTTTGCATCGCGCGGCGCATACGTTCCTCCAGGCCCAGTCTTCCGAGCTCCACCAGCTCCTCGACATGATCCGAATGCGCCTCTCGATCCAGACTCTTTCTCTCGCCCTGCCCCCAAAGTGGGCCCAGTTCGCGGCGGTGGACGGCGAAAGCTATGGGAGCCCAACTAGCAAACCGAAAGATGAGCGTCAGTAGCGTCGCAGTAGTCGAAATTCACAACGCCGCCATCGAACGGAACGTTGAACGCGATCAAGACATGAGCCATCAGCACACGAGGGGCTTTGAGCAGGATAGGACAGGTACTGGACAGTACGGTGACCTCGCGGCCCCTTAGTCTACATCACATCATGTCAACGCTGAGCAAAAAATGATCGCAGGTCTTAGCAACTGGTCCAACGGAGCATCATGTCCCACATCCTTCCACTCACAGTCAACCCAGAGCTGTCGCTACATCTAACGACTTGACCGGGGTCGACTACACTTTTCAAGAGCATACCTTGTTATTGGGTTTGTTCTCTACGAGCACTCTCTCCTTGTGTGGTTTTGCGCTCATTCTTGCTTTACAACAAAATTGCACAATTGCCTCGTTCGCTACATGGTCATGGTACTTCTGCCGCCCATTTACGGCTAAGAATGTTACCATCCACTTCGAACGAGGTTCTAATATATGCTTTACCGCCTTCTTGTACGCCTGTCTGTGAGACTGAACGATAGTCTGCCGTAGGAAGCGCGTGCGGGATAAGGGAAGAAACGCCATAGCTATGATCAACTAGGAATAAATGTTTTGTTCTTGGAGGTTTCCACTCGCATGATAGGCTTGATGTCTCTTCGTGAAGTATCGTCAGATTAACTATATAGACACGAAAGAAAGGGCCACACGCCTCGTTCTCTCCTGCAGTACCATATTAATGCGCAAGAGAACGTGCATACCTAGGTGCCACGGGCGGCTACGTTATTATCCAGTTTGCTGCCTGCTCTAAACCTGATGTATTACAGTCTGTCAAGTAGCAGCATAATTAGTATTTATGTAACGGTTCAGTTTCGTGCTTGCACAAAGGAACATGAACACATCAGTATCGAGAGAGCAGCATGTATTTGAAATTATACAAAGAAGAGATAGACACAAAACTCTCTCAAAAACAAGACAAATGGCTATTTTCGCCATTCAAACCCCTACTTCAATCAATTTACTCCCTCGTACCCCTTAGCAACCTTCCAAAAGCACTTTGCCTTTTCCTCTTCAGTTCGTTGAAGCTACCCTGTTCAACCACGCTTCCTTGATCCAACACAACAATGTGCTCAGCAATAGCCATCATTTCCCGCACATGCGTAATGATGATGACCGTCATCCGTTTCTTCGGTCTGTTGCCCTTATTACTACCACTACCCAGAGTCATCCGCTGCTTCAGGGGATATCCAACTTTGTAATCCCAATTCCCCTCTATCTCATCCCAAAACCAACCTGAACGGCTCCAGGGTGATATGGGTGGGGAATATGGTGGATCCAGTGTCTTCGATGCCGTGAACGAGACTGAGGATGGTCTCGCGGATGATCTGAGCGGAAGTTAGGTCTAGCGCGCTCGTTGCTTCGTCGAGGATACGCACATCGGGGTTTCTAACGGGGGCGCGTGCGATCGAGACGCGTTGAGCTTGGCCTCCGGATAGACATGTGCCGCCTTCGCCGATAGGCGTGTTGTAGCCTTGGGGCAGGCTGTCGATGAACTCAGCTATGTCAGCTGCGGAGGCGGCTGCGCGGATGCTTTTGATGCTTGTTTCGGGAAGGAAACGGGATAGGCCGTAGGCGATGTTTTCTGCGATAGTGCCGGGGAAGAGGACGGGCGTTCGTGATACTATGGCCATCCGGGAACGGAGGATGGTAGTATGCAAGGTCTTGATATCGTAATTCGAGACGGTCATATCGCCTGACGGGTTGGAGGATGCGAGTGGGTTGTTTCCTATTTGGTAAAGCTTGAGGAGGAGAGAGGCAATTGTAGATTTGCCTGCCCCCGAGGATCCGACCATAGCGGTGCAGCTCCCTTGTCGAATTTGGAACGACACTTCATGCAGTACTCAAATCTTAGGCCGGGCTGGGTAAATGAAGGTGACCTTGTTTAGCGAGATGTCATCTGCAAACTGTATCTGAATTTCGCCGGTGAGCTCGTGTGAGTCCTTTGGTAGTCGTGCGAGACGTAGTAATCGTGACCCAGCATCCCTTGCCATGTTGACCTGAGTGACGTAGTTCGCCATATAGCTAACTTGATTGACACTAAGCATGAGAACCAAGAAGCATTCCAACACTTCATTGGCAGTGTACTCATCTTTCAACATGAGATAACCTCCATACCAGGATAGCAGGATAGTTACGAAGATGGCTCCAGTGAATGAAAGTCCGTCAATGGATGCACAGTATATTGCGCGCTTGATGCCGACATTTACGGCTTCGGCAGTTGCGTTGGTATACATTTCCTTGAAGTAATCTTCCAAAACTAGGCATCGAACGGTCTTGATACTGACGAACGCGTCCTGGAGCACTTGACCAACCTTGTCAGCGGCCTCATTTTAAAATCTTTCCCAGCGGCTGCTGATAACGTTGTAGCACTTCGTGATTACGAAGAGAACAGGACCGGTTGCGAGAGCAGCTAGGGCCAACTGCCATGCTATGACCATGCTCCAAAAGATAGAAATACAAACCATAAGATTCATAGTGAGAAAGACACAAGCAAACCGGCCTGGAAGATTTCGGGCCTCTTCAGCAGAGTGATCCAACATCTCGGCAAGCCGCGACACGCTGTTTTCTTCCTTGTCGAAGAACTTCCGTGGTTGCATCAGGATGCGCCGCATGGCTTCCTTCTTCAGCGAAAGAGTCCACGTCTGCGCTACTGTATCTGAGAGCAAGAAAATGAAGTAGCACGATAAACCATCGAGAGCGGCAATACCAAGAATGACGAGGGCGTATTTTTGGGACATTTCCTTCCTAGCGCCAGGCACGTAAAAAGTAGTCAAAAGCTGGGCGAAAACCCATGCAAATACTGGTTTGCATGCAGCATGAATCGTTGCGCTGAAGGATGCCGCTAGAATGAGGAGACGCGGACCCCAGACTATAGCGGGCCATACAGACATGACTATCTCTTTCATAGGAAGAGAAGCGGCCGGGAAATCCTTGTCTTCACTAGGGTTCTTGTTGCGGAAGCGTTCGATTCTCTGAAGAAGCTTATCGTTTCTCGAAGATTTCTTCGGTGCGTCCGAAAGAACTGGGACAGACTCGTTGGTCGCAAAGGGTCGCGAGTACGGACCGATCGGCGAGACTGGTCGCGTAGATAGTTTAGGGTCTGAACGTGAGCTATGTTCTTTTGAAAACGACAGAGAGCGTCTGTGGAGATTCGACCTTGAAATAGGTCTCGAGCCATGGTTTTTCCATAAGATCCTTTTCTTGACAGGAGACGGCATAGACGGGAGATGTTTCAATGCCACAGAATCTGGAGATGCTTGATTCGTCTCAATGGGCTCCATCTTACCGCCTCTATCAGCCGTCTGTTCATGGATGGATAGCCTTGGGCCTGGGCCTACATCGACCGGTATAGTACAGCCCCAAGACGCGCAGGTATTCTCAGAATAGGTCTCCAGCACTGACTGTCCAAAGTGAACAGCAGATAGCGGACGTGTCATAGAAATGATCCGGGCTGTCCGTGACTCCTCGTGTTCCACATTGCCGTCACCAGCTTCAGGCCCCCAATAGGACTCGTCCTCATGATCATCAGACTCATCGTCTGTGTCAGCCTCGGTGTGCGTATCAAGACAAGACTGAAAGATCCATTTTGTGACTCGAGCTCTTTTCGACACCCCTGTTGTACTACCCGGGCGTTGTCCAGCAAGTACAGGAAGTCGTTGGGTCGGATCTGCAAGATGTCATGGGTAATGATAATCGTTGTCTTCCCTTTCCGCCAGCTTCGTATAGCGTCAAGCATCTCGGCTCGTGTAACGTAATCAAGAGAACTGGTTGATTCGTCCAGGATCAGCACCGGCGAGATCCCAATCCTAGCTTGAGCTAGAGCCATTCTTTGTCTCTGCCCTCCACTCAATGAGCCACCCTTCATGCCGAGTTCAGTATCCAGTCCATTGGGAAAGCTCTCCATAACAGGTTCTAGCATAGCAAACTTGACTGCATTGCGGATATCTTGCATATCCACTGCATCACCTAGCTGACCAAGAGCGAGATTGTGGCGGATAGTATCATTGAACAGCACGCTGTGCTGCTCAACAAGCATGACTTTCTGTCGTAACCATTTGACGTCCAAATCTTCGAGTGGAACGTCATCCAGGAATATCTGTCCTGAAGAAGGCCGATAGAAGCGGACGAGAAGTTGTGCTAGTGTGCTCTTTCCGGAACCCCTTTTGCCGACGACAAAGGTCGTCTCTCTAGCCCGGATTAGAAGCGAAGCATCTCGAATGACAGTCTCGTCTGCGCGTGAAGGATATGAGAATGTGACCTGGTAAATAGTTAGTAAGGAGCATCGACGCGGCGTGAGAAGCATTACCTTTCGAAACTCGAGCTGGCCCGTACATCTCTCAGGCCGCAGTTTGCCTTGCGATTCGAATTGCTGATCGCTCGTTGAAATCAACTTCATAAGCACACTTAATTTTGCACCGGCCATCTTTCCTTGCTGCAATACAATCAGCTGAGGCATTATCTGGGTCATCCCAGACATTGCCATAAGTGCTGCCCAGAACGTCATGAGGACCTGTTTTGGGTCACTTTCCCCGGTTTCGACGAGGTGACTACCGTACCAGAATCTTTGAACAAAATCGCTGATCGTAAAAAATTGCATAATGCCGATCTGCATAGAGCGAAAATTGTCCACGCTTCTGTATAAGCTCGCTGCAATCGTGACGATACTGGTAAAGACGTGGAGTTCGTATCTTTCCCCGTTGAAGCATTTAACCGTCTCAATACTTGTCATTGCAGTCGTAGTATATTTCAGTGCCGACTTCAAGTTCTCGGCATGCTCGTGTGCTCGTAGTGACAACCGCTTTGCCACTGAGGATTGAACCAAGTATAGAACTGGTATTGTACACAATACGACCAATGTTAGATTCCACGAATAGTAAAAAGCGACCCCCAAGGATCTTCTTTAGCGAACGTATTTCTACGGCGATTCCGATATTAGAGTGGCACCTACATCTGTACTATCGGCAGAAATGCGGCGATTCCATCCTCCCGCGTATCGATCCAAGCCATATCCTTTTTGATAAGAGCATCGAAGATTCTGTTGCGGGCACTCCTCGCCTGGAGCTCTCCGAACATGAGAAAGAAGAGATAGTAGAAACTATCGGCAATCCAGTTGAGTGTTGCGAGAGCGGTAAGAATTACGCAGAACCTGGCCATGTTGCTCATGAGTTGGCTGCTGCTTCTCGATCCTTCGCCATAGCTTGTGTATTGACCAGATACGAGACCGTAGAGGATTGCGAAAGCGGGCATGGACAGCGCAGCGACGGACGCCATCGCAATACCGCCAAGCAGTGCGGGCATATGCTGTTTTGTGGCGAAAGTGAACAACGTCCTCCATCCCACGTTCGTTATATAATCCTGATCCTCATCATTCAGAGACGGCGGCTTTTCGGAACGAGCGGTCGCGTTTGGATTAATCATCGTCACCATCTTGACCACTCGCCGGCAGCGACTGCGAAAAGAGAGTGTAAGGTGGTGGAATCGACAAAAAGTAAGAGCGACCCAAAGAGATGAAGTGAGAACAGAGAATAGGGAATTACCACATATGGACTAGTTTGTGGCGGCCATGTGGTCGTAGCCCTGGAAAGATGGTTTCCGCGCACCTGCTTTCGCCGCTTACTTTGTCTTTCCTTGACGTTGTTCTCCAGCCACCAATCGCCGCCTTCACGAAAAGCCCAAAAATTGCATCCACTCATGCGATCACTTTAAAACGAGATGAAACAGTGGCTTCCTCCGCACAGATCATCAGCGGATGGTGAGCTGAGAGCGACACTCCCGATTCAGCGCTTTGTTGGTCTTGTAGTTGACATGCACAGTATAGGCCGGCAACTGACGAAGATTACATGTTCACCAATACGTCAATTACCAAGCCAATATGGTACTCCACCGATGATCCAGTGGCTTGCATGACAGATATTCATAGACGGTCATAGCTGGGCGGCCGACAAAGAACGTGAGCTCGTAAGCGACGAACAAGTGACGGGCCGGATGTCGGCAATGCAGCCGCATATTGGCGTCCCTTGCGAACAATAACTTGGAATTTAGAATTTCCAGGATCATCCTGCGGCGAACTACTTGCCCTGCGCCTTCTCGTATATCCAGTCATTCAGGCCTTCTCGGTTACTGCGCATGTCAGCATTGGGCGCGCCGCTATATCCCGGGCGTAGCTTACCGTGCGATTTCAATAGCGTAGAACTGCATTCGAACAGCGAATATTGTGCCTTCCTGGCTGTATTCCATTTTGGGACTTGCGCGCAGCATTGTGCCGAAGTTGTAGTCCTCGACCTTCTTCTCGTACTCACTGATGAACTTGCGCCATCGCTCCTTCCCCTCCTTGCTCTTCATCTCATCCTCGTTTAGTGTGGCTGATGCGTCGAACTCGGGGAATTCCGTCTTGAGGTGTTCGTAGATTTCGTCGTCGATCTTGGTGAGTCGCAGCTTGGAGCCGGGTACTTTCTCGAGGATCTTCCAGTATGTTTCCATGTGCTGCACAACTGTGTGATACTGTCAGCATGGTCGCGACCGGCAGGTCTCGTGATCTGTACCTTTGACCGCGAACTGCTTCTCGATCTGTAGACGCTGTTAGCGATGACTGTCGACGCGCTGGCTTTGGGGTACCTGCATCCTCAAAGTTCTCAGTCTCCTCTGGATTGATGCTCGTGCCTAGTGGGCCTGCGAGAGACATGTTGGCGATTTTGCTAGGGAAATACTATCTATGGGTAGTTTGAAGTGAGAGTGTAGAGAGTGATGTGGGTGCTTGTAGCAGCAATCAGCGCGGTGAAGGTCGACAAAAAATCGCGGAAACGCACTCCGTCATTGCCCCGCCACGCCCGCCACACTTCGCGGGGCTGACTCAACCCCAATTTTCCCATCATGAACACCAACCTCACATATGATTCTGGCGAGCCAATGTTGCCAACTCTACACGTGAGTCTGCATTGCACCGAGCCAGACAGCAGCTAATCACCGCAGCATGAATGCATTCGCGTACCAGTGACAGCACTGGCCTCTTGCGGCGCTCTGCTGATCGCTGCAGAAGGCCCCTTTTTACGCTTCCACCATGCCAGCGACTCGCGGTACATCTCTTCGGAGCGCGTCTTCAAAGCTCAAGCAATCCATGGAATACGCGTCTTTTCGGAAGAGCATGCGCACGTTATCAAACTGGTCATCTGGGGTGGAAGACTGGTCCGCGCCCTCGAGATTGACTTTGCAGATCAAGTTGGCCAACAAGGCCTGAGCCTATGTTTCTCCAACGTCGCGAAAGCTTCAGATTGGATTCTTGATCTCGCTCCTCGTCCCAAAGGCCTGGATGACGATGCTCAGTACCACAAAGGATCCTGCATTGCTGTCACTGCTCATAACGCACTGCTGCACGTTGAGATGGAACAAAGGACGTCGGACGACTTCCACATGACCAAGTGCGCATACCACACATTGATCCGTTGGAGTATCATTTTCTTGCTGACATTTTGATTTCAGTTACATTGATGTAGCTGTATCTGAGCTTACTTCAAGTTCTCGATCTATCCTCTACTCCGCTCACCTGTTCTGGGAGAATCTAAACCAGGTCCTCGTTGCTGCTGGTACAGCGTTCGGTGAAATTATATACTGGTCATGGTCCGACAATGGCGGCGGTGGATCCGCCTCCCGTATTCATCGCGTCTTTTTGGGTCACGAGGGCTCAATTTTCGGGGTCCAGATTTCGGAAGAGCTACCCACCGAATGTTGTCAAAGACTGAGGCGGGTGGTAGCAAGCTGCAGCGATGACCGCACAATCCGAATGTGGGACGTATCGGATGTGAACACTAGTGCCACTACCTCGGAAGCTCATAGCAATGACTTGGAGATTCTGAGAACTCGTCATACCGGCTTTACCAACGCAGCTTTCGACTCAAATGAGTTTAATAGCTCGAGCTGTCTCGCCATCGGGTGGGGTCATCTTTCACGCGTTTGGACGGTCCGCTTTCTCGAAGCATCGCCATGCAATGGATCACTGTTGCTCCAGTCTGCCGGTGAAGATGCAACTGCAAGGACGTGGGAACTTACGCCAAACCCCGGAAGTAGCACGAGCTTTCCTTACAGGTTGCTAGAACTTGACTGCACCGCGCATCATAGCGGGAAGAACTTGTGGTCGAGTGTTGTTTCCAATGACTCAACAGGAATACAGCAGGTTATTGCAGGTGGCGCTGATAGTAAAGTCACCGCTTCCCCGTTATTGCGCATCCTGCAGGCAGAGAAGAACTTACGTGGTGCGATCGCTGAGTATACTGTACACGACATATTATCATGGGCGCGAGTGGCCGAGCCTGATCCAAACAGGCCTGAATTTGTGGACGGTCCAAAGTTTCCAAGGAAAGCAGAGTTCTTCAGGAGCTATTGCTTTGTCGATGAAACCTCATTTCTGCTTACTACTAACTCTGGAAACGTACTTATCGGCGCCATTTCGTCCAGGACAGCCCCATGTCAATCAAGCCTCCTTTCAGACTCAAAGTTACTCGATGAACTGAAAGATCTTTCTGGTTATTCTGTCTGCACGAGTGGCTGCCGTCCTGGTTTCGCTTACATCGCTGGTAGTAGCGGCAACATCTACGTGTACAGTAAGGAGTCTAATACCCTGGCAAATCTGCATGCCATTGGTAGCAAAGTCGGAGACATCTTCGCTGTGGAGGTATCAAACACGGATGGTCCAAATACGGCGGCATTACTTGTGACCCTTGTTGGTCAAGGTGAAGCGCAATTGCTATACGTGGACCCTGATAGCAACACGAACGTTCTGAGAGTTGTGCAGATACCCATTGCAGAATCTTCGACCGGTTCGGTCATCACGAGTATGACTTATGCAAGAATAACCGGGAGAGACATTCTCATCATTGGGTTCCGTCAGGGTTCGATCGCACTGTATGAAATCCGTAAAGGTGAGGGGGTTACGGATGTTGCTATCTTGCTACGGATCATTGAGAAAGCACACGGTGCGGAAGCAGTCACTTCTCTTACATGGTGTCCCTCATCTGGAGGCTCCTTAGGCTCCGTACACGGCCATCTGTTCTCCGTAGGAAGAGATGGGCGTCTCAGCGTACACCAGTTCGATGCATCTGCAAACGTTGTCGAGCTGGTGCATGATCTTGCGGTACCATTCGGACCAAACATTGAAGGTTTATACTTCCAGGACAACCATCTCCTCATACACGGCTTCTCAAGCAAGAAATGGTATCTCTACGATGTCACTAGCGAAGAGCAAGTCATGAGCATCGAAACCGGAGGAGCGCATAGAAGTTGGGCCTTCCGGTCACATTCGTCGCTAGGAGGTATCCTAGTATGGACTCGAGCCTCTAGTATGCATATATGCAGTCAAAACAGACCGAATCATACTGTCGTTCGACGAGGGGGTCATGGACGTGAGATCAAGGCGGTCGCAGTTGCATCGGAGATGAACGGTAGATCTCACCCGCTCATCGCCACAGGCGCTGAGGATACCGATATCAAGATTTTCCGCCATGTTGATCATGATCTGATATGCCAAAGGACTATTCGCAAGCACACCACGGGGATTCAGCACCTACAATGGTCGCAAGACGGTGACTATCTTTTCAGCAGCGGTGGCTGTGAAGAATGTAAGGTTTGGGTACAACGCTGCAAAGCTGCTGCTGACTTCTTTCACAGTCTATGTATGGCGGATCCGGGACTTACCCGCCTCCGCTCTTGACATTGGAGTCGTGTGCGAACATGTGTACACGCCAGAAAGTGAGCACGCAGATTTGAGACTCATGTCTTTCGATGTGACCACATCGGGATCCGCACATACTATCACGATGGTGTTCTCAGATTCCAGCATCAAGGTGAGCTGATCTTCGTATTCTCAATGTAGCATGGCGCTGATTTGACAAGATCTATCGTTATGATCCTGCCGCTATTGTCACATGGCAGCCTCTTGGAAAGGGTCTCTACTTTACATCCTGTTTGACACAGTGCATGTTCCTCTCTAGAGAAAAGGTCTTGACATCTGGTACCGATGGCCATATTGTAGTATGGCCGCTAATGGCAGAAACCGAAGGATCGCGTGGAAGATCCACTGGGTCAAATGATCATTTGACATGGCATCATCCGGCAAGGATACATCAAAGCTCATCAAAAGCCATGACATCCCGAGCCATTAGTGCGGATACCTGGCTCATCGTATCCGGTGGTGACGATGGCAGTCTGGCGTGTGTACTCGCACAGTCTACGTCTTTGCCGTCGTCGACTTCGCCTACGACAACCCATGTTCCGCCACCCATCCTCGTCAGTCGCGCACATGGCTCTGC